GTAGATATGTGGGGTGTGTTAGAACGAGCCGTTTTAGGGGGGCGTGGCAAAGTCTTAACTTTGATAAAGAATATCTCTTTGGTTTTGAGACTTTAGTCTTTGCAACTTCAGGGATCTTATCTATGCACAATCAGCTTGTAACACTCCAAAGAGAAAGGAAAACTTGAAATCGCATCATATGACCCCTTTAAACTAAAATTTAGGGCAATGCGATTCATAGATTTTTATTTTCGTTTTCAATTTTGGCTTCCAACAATTAAATCAAGATAATTGAGGTAAACGATTATTGTGCCGCATTCATGCTTGCACACCTTCCTTCAAAGTTATGCGCTTTCGTTCCTCCCTAAAAGCCCAAATTTAATATCCAAATCAGTTAATCAGTAATTGTTGTAAAAATGTAGTCTTACGGTCTTCAATAATCATTTGAGGACTACATTAATTAACCAAGCTTTTGCTGAAGTACTGAAATTGGTACCAGTAACTATGAAATTTCACTGAAATCTAAAAGGACTCGTATTGCAAAAGAAGATTTTAATCATATCGCCAAACACAAATTGTGTTAAATAATCATGATTTCAATACGGACCAAAATAATCATGAATATGATTTCTGCCATAATTGGGCAGCCCAATATACATATGACTGAATCAAAGTCGACACTAGTGACAAGACTGCACCAGTGTCTGCACCAGAAGCTTCTGTCTGCAACACGGTCTGCTTTGTGCCTGATTTTTTAATTCCATCAGCATGGATATACTGAGTAGAAATGATAACAATCTGCACCAGTCGATACATTTCTAAACATTTCACATCAGCTAAATGTTCTTTCTTTAAGAGAAAAACACAATTGTGAGTTATTGTATAAGAGTTACAAGAAAACAAGAAAAACAAGCATCGCCATCAGCCGTTGTCAAGGGGAGCCAAACCGCTGAGCATGTGCGTCACCAGCGACCCACCGCATTGCAAACTGTGATGCAAAGAGACATGCAGATATGATGCAAGTGTTCAATCTACCCTTGTTTCCTAGAGTGAAGCAAGAAATCAAGAGAGAAAGATGAACAGGCAGCTTGTTTTGATGGGTGTGGCAGGACCAAAAGGTTACGGACACTATAACGGCCCACATAATCTCCCAGCACAGTTTTTCCCTTTTCAGGATGCTAGCGTGAGCTCGCACTTTAACCGTCAGCTGAGACAGGAGGAAATTTAAGATGTTTTCCAAAAGAGTGGAGCAGACGCTGAGGTCTGTGGGAGAATTACCACAGGGAATCTGAGCCAAGTACACTCACTCCGATAAAAGAAAATGTGTCATAAAATGTGTGGAACACACCCGTGCATGCTGTAAATCTAGAATTCAAGAGTTTTACAAATTAGAAGAGCTGACATTTTAATCTGGGCAGTGCAAATTCATTGGCCAAAAGCTGTGTGAACATCTCATGAACAAGAACATAAGCAGAGCCACAAGTCTTTATTTACAATAGATAAGGCTGCCTTTTGGTTAGCATTACTGGATCAATTTGTCTTGACCCAAGCAGTTCTACACTCAGACCCTCTCTCACAGTGCATCAAGGCCAAAGTCTGCTCCAGACAGGGTGACCCACTTAGAGAGGAAGTCAGCTCCGAGCGCCCCGTGGGGGCCAGAGGGTCAAGACGGAACCCCTGCTGAGCTTTGGCCTCTGTGAGGTCTGATGAAGTCTGACACAAGGCCACCGCAAGGAGATCCTTCATGTCTCTATCTACTTTTTTTTGAAAAGGAAAGCAAAAAGGATGGAGCTTCACAGGAACACAACAGCTTTTATAAAACTTATGTATACTCACATTGCTGCTGATTTGGGTGGAGGATCATTTTCTTGCAGGAGGCAGTACTCTTCAGCACAGCCACATATGATTCGTAGAGTTCTCACTGCAATGAAAAACAACTGCAGTCAAAAAAACAATTTTTTAAAAATGTGACAGGACATTACTGGTAACGTTTGGATTCAATCAAGATGCTCAATCAGGTTTTAGGCATTGTAAACTTTTAGACATGCTCAAACTGTAAGAGTACATAATACAAAGGGTACATAATATGCACCCTTTAGGGGTAGATCCCCATTTCTGCCACATGAGAGAGAGAGAGAGAGAGAGAGAGAGAGATCAAAATTATAAGATCAAGTCAGAATTAGTCACAACTTTTTATCTCATAAGTATGACTTAGTATATTAATTTCGAATCTCATAATTATAAGTTGAATTATGACAAAGTCTATAAATATGACTTACTATGTGAAATATTTGACTTTATCAGATTTTTTTTTATTTTGTCTTTTACAAAAATCTCATAAATATGACTTACTAGTCATAATTATGGCTTTTAAAGTCTGTGTAAAGGCAATTCAGAGAATTGTTTCTAAACACATAAATGTTAGAAATGTAATGCTGAAAACACGTTACAAAGACTGTGAACTATGTTTAGACCGTTAAACCGTTTTTCACCATTTTTGTGTCCAGGATTTTTTGGGCGAGCCTGAAATCATGTCTTGATGATGCACTGGAACCACTGAACATGGCCCCTCCCCTAACACTATAATAACTAGAGTGCATTAGCATCAGTGGTTCGCCCGCTCAATCGCGAGTTACGGTCATTACCGTTAGTTACTACAGCCTACAGTTTGCTAGCTAGCCATGCCTTCGTCAAGTAAATGCAAATTACCTGTTGTATGGCTATGTAAATCCAATTAAAATGCTCTATTCAGGTGGTGGCAGCTTTCCTGCGAGTGGGTGTGGTTTCAGCGCTGAGAGTGGACTAGGGCTGAACGATTTTGGAAAATAATCTAATCGCGATTTTTTTTACCAATGTTGCGATTGCGATTTAATATGCAATTATTTTTGAAAGCTCTTTATGTTCTGTATTATTCAACAAAGACAAGCTATAAATCATTGTATAGTATGACCAACACACTATTAGATAGATTAAACATAAATGTCCTTTTCTGTAGGCCAGGCTTATATGTTACCATGAAATTAGGTGATGCATGAATTGATATGAATGACATTTTTATTTAACAACTACAATCACAGTACATTGACTGATTTGTTGAACTTCCAACCTTGTAAGCATGTAATAATTATGACAACATAAAGCACTGACAAATAAGCCTGGTGTAAACATTAATATGAAAGTCAGTAACAAATCACACAAACGAAAGCAGATTGCAGAAATATAAAAACAAATCTGTAATAAACATATGTAAACATGCGCACTGCACTTTTTAAACACTGTCTGTTAACTTTAGACCAGTGGTTCTCAAACATTTTTGGTTGCGCCCCCCTCAGACTACCAAATAATTTCACTAAACATTATGAAAAATGAATGCTTTTTTAATTAAAAAAACCTACAGGGAAAAAAAAACACCTGCATCACTTGAAACATTGAAAAATAGCATAGAGAGAATAACATTATTATT